CAATCGAATTGGGCCAAACTTCCCACATAGAACCCCCATGACCAACAGAAAAGACTGTGTTCTCTGATAGTCTTTGGCGACCCCTCTGACACTCCCTGGTGACCCCCACAGGGGTCCCGACCCCCAGGTTGAGAACCACTGCACTAGGGAGTTGGGGACCCCAAGAGCACAACAATATGTAGAGGCACTACATAAGCAGTGTTTTCTATGGATTTTAACTGAACCTTCTTAAAAATACCAATGATATTTAATTCTGTTTTAATGTTTGTATATCCATGGATTTTAACTTGTATGGAAATGCTTTTAACGTTAGCTGCTTTGGGTCTCCTTTGGGAGAGAAGAAGCGGGGTATAAATAACAACAATAACGACGACAACAACAAATAGTAGTAGTAGATAGAAAATATATTTGATGTAATACAGAAAGAGAGCCAGCATGGCAATGGTAAAATGATATAAATACTAACCCACTCATTATCTAAATGAAACCTGTAGCACTGTCTTTGTAGACATTAATAACAAATACTTTAGGAAAATATGTAATGTGACTCAGTTCTTGTGGGTTTTTTCGGGCTATATGGCCATGTTCTAGAGGCATTTCTCCTGACGTTTCGCCTGCATCTATGGACCTCTGAGGAAGCTTGCCATAGATGCAGGCGAAACGTCAGGAGAAATGCCTCTAGAACATGGCCATATAGCCCGAAAAAACCCACACGAACTGAGTGATTCCGGCCATGAAAGCCTTCGACAATACATATGTAATGTGAAATAATCTGCTATGAAAAATGGAAATCAATTTATTTCTCTTATTGATATGGTAGTTATTGTTCCCTCATCCCCACCAACCACGCTTGCGAAGAAGGTGGGACTGAGAGCAGGGCTTCCCCAGGAGATCTTAATCTACATCCTGGTCTACAAACTAGGTGCTAAACACCCGACTGTAAATCAGTTTCCACTGAAGAAGAACTGGAAAAGAATATATGAAGATCAGGAGACAATGTGAGAAGACACAAGAAGAGACAACCAATGGACCGGAAATTAAAATGGTTAGAACAACTTCTTTGTTTTCTCCTTGCAGCATGCTAGATGTTTACAAATAAAAATAGAATCATAGAATCATAGAATCAAAGAGTTGGAAGAGACCTCCTGGGCCGTCATCCAGTCCAACCCCATTCTGCCAAGAAGCAGGAATATTGCATTCAAAGCACCCCTGACAGATGGCCATCCAGCCTCTGCTTAAAAGCTTCCAAAGAAGGAGCCTCCACCACACTCCGGGGCAGAGAGTTCCACTGCTGAACGGCTCTCACAGTCAGGAAGTTCTTCCTCATGTTCAGATGGAATCTCCTCTCTTGTAGTTTGAAGCCATTGCTCCATTGCGTCCTAGTCTCCAGGGAAGCAGAAAACAAGCTTGCTCCCTCCTCCCTGTGCCTTCCTCTCACATATTTATACATGGCTATCATATCTCCTCTCAGCCTTCTCTTCTTCAGGCTAAACATGCCCAGCTCCTTAAGCCGCTCCTCATAGGGCTTGTTCTCCAGACCCTTGATCATTTTAGTCGCCCTCCTCTGGACACATTCCAGCTTGTCAATATGTCTCTTGAATTGTGGTGCCCAGAATTGGACACAATATTCCAGGTGTGGTCTAACCAAGGCAGAATAGAGGGGTAGATTACTTCCCTAGATCTAGACACTATGCTCCTATTGATGCAGGCCAAAATCCCATTGCTTTTTTTTGCAGCCACATCACATTGTTGGCTCATGTTTAACTTGTTGTCCACGAGGACTCCAAGATCTTTTTCACACGTACTGCTCTCGAGCCAGGCATTGTCCCCCATTCTGTATCTTTGCATTTCGTTTTTCCTGCCAAAGTGGAGTATCTTGCATTTGTCACTGTTGAACTTCATTTTGTTAGTTTTGGCCCATCATCTCTCTAATCTGTCAAGATCGTTTTGAATCCTGCTCCTGTCCTCTGGAGTATTGGCTATCCCTCCCAATTTGGTGTCGTCTGCAAACTTGATGATCATGCCTTCTAGCCCTTCATCTAAGTCATTAATAAAGATGTTGAACAGGACCGGGCCCAGGACGGAACCCTGCTTGTGGCACTCCACTCGTCACTTCTTTCCAGGATGAAGAGGAAGCATTGGTGAGCACCCTCTGGGTTCGTCCATTTAACCAATTACAGATCCACCTCACCATAGTTTTGCCTAGCCCACATTGGACTAGTTTCCTTGCCAATGTAATGTTTGTTTGTGGGATTAACACAACTCAACAACCACTGAACGAATTGACACCAAATTTGGACACAATGCACCTCTCAGGCCAACAAGTGACCATCACTCATAAAAACACTGGAAATCACAGCAGAAGGGACTGCTGAAACCCCTGAAACAGAGCAGAAGCCAAAAAACAAAACATGCATTACAACGCATGCACAAAATCACATACATACACAAACACACATATAAACAAATATATACACGCATATATGCACACACAAAACACATATACACAGACTGGGCCACAGCAACGCGTGGCAGGGAACAGCTAGTGTTTAATAAGAATTATTTGGGGAATAACAATAACAACAACAACACAAGGACTCCTTTGCTCTAAATCGGGGTCTTCTGACCTTTGGGCCTCTGGTGTTTGGGCCTTCAGCTCCCAGAAGCCCCAGTCACTTTGGCCAACTGGATACTGAAGTCCAAAACACCAGGAGGACCAAAGGTTGAGAGGTAGTTCAGTAGAACTGAAAAGGAGGGGAAGGATCTCTGTAGGGAAGGGCTGTGGCCCATTCAGTTTGGCTTCCCAATGCCTATTCTGCCTATGTTTTGGTTGGGAGCCCTTCACCTGCGACAGGTGAATCCTGGGGCTGCAAGGAGAAACGGGAAGGCAGGCCCTCCTCCCTGAACGAGGCCAATGTGTTCCTGGCTGTAACCTGG